ATTTTTCTTGATCCTCCTTGAGCTCATACGGACCCTTGATTACTCTAGCCCAGAGTTTTGGATCTGTGGATCCAACAAATAATTCCATACGATTTTTCCAATATCCATAATTAACTCCTTCAAACCTGGGAGGCCGATTTTGAGAAAACCCGTCAGCCAAATAGAGTGGAGCATTATTCTTGGAACCCGACGCCATTTTGATTCGCACCGGAGGTCGTTGAACCTTGTTCTATGGTGACCGTGCTCTGATACCACGTGTTGGTTGCGTCGAGCGCGAGACTTTTATACCTGTCTTGAAACAATCTTACTCACGAAACAAGAGTTAGTAAGATTAAGAACCCTAATTTATTTTTAACCTAACTAATTCAAATCTCACTTAGTTTGTGATAATGTCAAAACAAATAAATAGCCACCAACTCACTTTCCACGTTACTTGGAGTAACAATCCTATTCCTACACAAGCAGACTCTCGGGTCCTTATTTCAATGGGCTAATGAGCTCAAAGCCCACTCGCAGAACCTAATATATTCTACTGGGCATGTAATTCCAAAAGCTTAAATTAAGCTTACGTTGAAATGAAATCCAAAAGCCCAGCCCAGTTAATTTCTAGATCCGACCTAGCTACTTAGTGTGTGAATGAAAACGAAGGTGTTTTAATATCAAAACAGATCAGGTTTCCCAATTGAGATATTCGATCAAAATGACCTCAGCTACTGCTCGAATGAAGAACAGGGTAAGAACAGCTCTAGCGCTGCAATTAAAACCCAGGCTGAAATGAACCTAATTAAAACAAACCCTGCTACCGCTACTTCCTCAGCTCTGTTCGGCCAAGTCGTGTTCCTGACTGCTTCTAGGAACGGGTTCCCCTGCAAAATCAAATCTGGAACAGCCACGAACAGAAGCAAGAACAGATAGTAAATGAAAAGCAAAGTAAGAGCCCAGCACGCGATTTTTACGTGGTTTCCAGTATTGGGAGAATGAGGATCCCAATACTGACTACTCCACGGTCAGAGAATCACGGTTGTGTGATCTCTGACGATTCACTATGATATAGCGTTGACGTTCTTCGTTACAAGCAATCTACCCAAGAGCCCTTTGATCAATCACTACCCGATTGATCAAACTCTCTTTTCTCAAACCCGAATTGCTTCCCCAGCAACTCGAAACCAGTGTTTCCTCAACACTGACCCTCAAAGAAATTCTCCCCGAACCCTTTGAGAAAAACCCCCTTTCCTATCAACTTTGCTACTCTCACAAAATCCCCTTTTGTCTTAGCTAGCCTTGTTGATCTCTTGAAAGGTTGCAATTGGTGGTTCTTCAGGTCGCCTTTTATAGGGAGGAATATGACCGTTAGTCATTCAAATTCCTTCCCTATTTGTGATGATTTGATTGAGAACTCAATCCTCTAATTTGATTTGTAGTGAGTTGGTCATTTGAGCCTCATTGTGCACTGTTGTATCCAATCTTCTTGATCTGATTTCTTCTCTAATTTTTCAGCCGTTAGAACCTTCCTTCTTTGTGTTGATTTGCTAGGTGGCAAATCAGTATCTTTGAGCATAGCTAGCCATTGAGAAGTTCTTTCCTTTATTGTTCTTGATGATTTCAGAATCTCTCCTCCTTTATGCTGTCTTTGATTTTCTTTCCTTACTTACAAGATTGCAGCATTTTCCTTCTTTGATTGAGGCCATTGATATGCTTGACTCAACAGTTTGCCACGTCATTAAAAAGTTGACGGAGCTAACAAAGACTAACGGTGAAACGAACCGTAAAGTTAGTGGCTAATATGAAAGAAAAGTAATTCGGATGACAAACGTGAAACAATTATATAATTTGGGTGACCAAACGTGTAATTTAGCCATAGATTTTCGTAGCCACTCAAAATTACGTAACCACACTAACCTATTCCATGGTGTCGCCCCTCTTTTGAGCTTTCTCATCCTAAGCCCAATCCTTCCCCCGTCATCGACAACTGTCATTATCGATCCCGCTGTAAGGAAACATAAGCTTTACCTTCGTCGTCGTGGGGAGACAGGGTCGTGGAGCCAAATTTCCTCTGACTGCTTCTTCCTCTTCCTCTTTTTCGGCGAATACATCTGTTGTCGTTACTAGGGGTGGGCACGTGGGTGGTTAATCCGCGGATTGATATCGATACACCCGCAAATAATCCGACCCGCACGCAATGGGTGATTGATGTGGGTGGATTGCGGATTGTTAAATCTCCCACCCGCACTTATGTGGGTGGATGGTGGGTGGATTGCGGGTCACCCGTATTACCCGCGTCCTATTTTTACATTGAAAATGTTGTTTCTAATAGTATCGAATATTCATCATATTTTCGAACTGCACTATAGTCTGACCATATACTTCAAAAGGTGGAGAATAAAGAATAGTTTTGACTACTATTATTGTGCGATATCCATTGGCAATGGATATTGGTATGCAAATTATTGTTAATATCCATTAAATATTGGGATACAAACTATAAATTATTAATTGTATCAAAATCACAAATTATTGATACAATCTTACTAATTTGCTATGAACTTATTATAAATGTTAGTCAATTTTCCCTTTCTTCCGTTTCTTTTCCATCTTCCTAAAAATAACCACGATTACGAAAAAAATCTTCTCCACCATGTTAGCTTCTTCTGCAACTTGGAGCAAATGAAGGAAGCTAGACGCCTAGACCTACGGCAAGCTAGACCTTCTGCTCCGTCGCGGAATCCCACCTACAAAATCTGCAGATCTCTTTCACCAACCATATTCCGGAGTAACTCCTTTTTCATTACCTCCTTTGGCTCTCCGAATTCCCCATGTATTTTGCATGCCCAATACTTTATGCTTTGCTTTGTTGTGATTTGATTTTTCTATTTAACATACACTTTGTGCAAATCTAATAGGTCGTCATCATGATATCGAGGTTCATCTTTACCAAATGATCTATGCCGAGACAATATCGGATTTCAAAACCAAGTCGAGAATTTGGTTAGAGGAAATCCTTGCGCCGTTGGCAACATAAATTCGAGGACAAGTCATGTTGTTTGTGGTGAAAGTGGTAGCGGAGGGAATTGTTGATACCAACACTAGTAGTGGTTTACCTAACCAGTAGTGTTTTACAGTATATTAACGGGTTGTTTGGATTGAGTATTTGACAAACTTGTTATTTGTGACCAATTGCCATACAAATAGTACATAATATAAAATTTGTTATTTAGTATGTGCTATTTGGTCTCAAACATGTTATTTGACAAATACCTGCCTCTTCCAACTATTTGGCAAACAACACTTTTTGTGTTATTTGGTCTCAAAACCGTTATTTGGCAAAACACCACATCCAAATAACACATCCAATTTTTTGTCAGCCAAACATGTTATTTGGGGCCAAATAACACCACCAAATACTCAATCCAAACAACCCCTACGAGTTTATGTTCTTGCTTTCAGCTTTCATCCTTTGATATTAGTAGTTCTTCCATAGTAGTTTTCTCCCTTTTCTTATTTATGTTGTAGTGGGATTAACTCTATGCAATATATGTTTATGTGGTGCGGACTAGCGGTAACTTCACTACTATAATTATAAAATACTACTAGGATCATGATTTACAACTATCAATACTGCAACGACACTCTATGAGAAATTTTACAATGCTATATAGTATTGGTGCTATAGGGTTATGCCTTTATTGTACAACTTAAAATTGTAAATTTACGTTATGGTACAACTTCAGATTGTACCTATACTTTTTGTGCAAATTCTTTTATGGTACAACTTGAACTTGTACCATTATGTTATGGTACAACTTTACAACTTAAAGTTGTACCATAACATAATGGTACAAATTGCTTTATGGTACAACCTAAACTTATACATTTAATGTTATGGTACAACTTTAAGTTGTACATTAAAGCACCAATACTATATAGCATAGTAGAAGTGCTCCACTTCTAATTGGAAACACACTATTATTATCTCCGTTGAATCTGCTCATATTTTTTTTTCCGGTAATTAATCAACTCATTTTTCGTAAAGTATATTAATTTCATATTTTAAAATTTTTCCTCTTAGGGGTCGTTTGCTTCATGGATTTAAAAATGAGGGTTTTGTAATTTAAAAACCCAAGGATTTATCAAGGATTTGAGGCATCATGGATTTGTAACAATCTTTTGTTTGTTGGGATGTTTTTATCATGGATTTAAAGGTGTGGGATTTACTACTGGAAGTCAAAAATTACATTACTGTCATTTTCTATATGTTTGACATGTTTATGATATGTACACAAAACAAGGACAAAACTTCAAAATTACCTTACTATCATTTTCTATATGTTTGACATGTTTATGATATGTACACAAAACAAGGAGAATACATACTAATAAGCATAATGTTGCCACGTGGACATATATTAGAATCGGGAGAACAAAGAATTACACGTTCCATGAAAAGGTCAAAGAAAACTAGAACACAAGAAATGATATAAAAAATCTAACTCATTTTTGCACATTAATTGAATGTTTATATTATTCATTTATTGTTAATTATAATGTATAATAGTTAAATTTGAGGGCAACCTTGAAATATTAAAAGTGCATGAGGATATATGGGTAAAATCTCATCAAGGATTTATGCCATATTCCAAATCCTACATCAACATGTGGGATTTATAAGTCCGTGGGGTCCACGGATTTGGAACCTTAAAATTCGTGGGCCCCACGGATTTGGTCTCCAAAAAAGGTGCAAGCAAACAACGGATTGTACCTAAATCCTTGATAGTTGGTTTTTTGGTACCAAATCCATGTACCAAATCCTTGAAGCAAACGACCCCTTAATTCCTTATTATATTCTAGATAGCATGGTGCTAATCCCGCATGGAGTTAGCAATTTAGCACCCAATCTTCTTCCTTTGCAGAATTGTTTTAAATGACCGAGTAGGAAACGGACAAACGCCAGCTTCGAATAAAAGAATGACAACTAGTATCCTCGATTTCTCCAAGTCAGAGATTGAAGACTGAAAACACTTTCTGATAACCCTAATTATGACCGAATGAGTCCCGCCGCTGCGAAAATCCTCACCACCGACGTCCTTCCAATGAAGAAGCAGAGGAAATTTGCCGGACATCCGGCAATAATATCAGCCGCCACCGAAGATCGAATCTCGGACTTACCGGACGCTGTCCTCCACCTCATCCTCCGTCGTATGAACTCCCCCACACAAGCTGGACAGACTATGGCTCTCTCCCGGCGATGGCGAAGCCTCTGGCGCTCATACCCTGTCCTGGAGTTCGATGAGGCCGATTGTCACAGTCACCGCGGCTGGAAAAACTGTCCCGCCACCGTCGCCGTCGCAACCGATTATCTCCACAAATTCACGGCTGCCTCCATCGAGCGATTCTCTGGAAACCAATTGCCGATTGAAGCTTTCAAAGTCTCACTGGCAAGGGAAGATAGGATCAAAAAGCAGACGCCGCTCCGCTGTGATTCTTGAGCAGCTGCTGAGCTTGGCGTGGGAGAGGAAACCGGGAGAGATCACCATGGATATAACCGGCTACCGTCTGCCCTGCCGCAAAGGAATCCTGACATCCGGCCTCAAGATTCTCCGGCTGACCGGAATCAAGTTTGGATCCGACTGGCGCTGCGATGATCTGCCTCCCCTGAGTTCTCTCCGGCTCCTCCGTCTGAAGTATGTCAAGTTCAATCACGAGAATCTTCTCGCAAACTTGATAGCTCGGGCTCCTTTCCTCGAAACCCTAGAACACCGAGGGTCTGCGGCGGGATCGACGAAGCTCCAGGTGATTTCCAAACTTCCCACCAACCTGAATTCCCTGCGATTCCTCTGTTTGGCAAATGTGGCATTCGAGAACCATGACCAACTCTTCACCAATTTGATATCCAGCTCTCCCCTCCTCGAAACTCTCGAGCTCAGAGAGATTTCCAAATTGAGGAAGCTCCGCGTAATCTCCAGGCTGAACAACCTGAAGACGGTTAAGATAGGTTACCCACTCGATGCGGAGCGAATCGAGATCGATGCTCCTGGACTCGAGACTCTGCATCTCCAGCCGCTCTACCACGAGGTGATCGAGATCGAGGTCACAGCTCCCGAGTTGAGACATTTAGAACTGGGAGGTTCTGGTTTCACAGAGCGTAATGTTTGCGAATTGCTGTCTAATCTCGGCGGAGGATCATCTTTGAAGTCCCTCACTCTGCTGGGGCTCGATCGGGTCGAGAAGCTGAATTTCTCGAGCCCCGAGCTCGAGGAGTGCAAGCTGTTCATGTGGGCGAACTCGAAGCTGAGGGAGATCCAGCTCGATGCCGGGCCACGCCTGGCGAAATTCTTCGTGGGTTGTCGAAACGTCCTTCCTGATGGCAAATTGGAGAAATGTGAGATCAGTAGCGACGCCACGGCCTGTAGATTGGAAGTTGATTTCGGGCATGTTAGATTCGATTCGTCACGGTTGTTTGGTGGATTAAGGAGAGTCATTGCAGGATTCAGCCAGCTCCATACTGTTAGCATTAGCTTCCTCTACTCTCCTGGGTATTCATCGGATTGGGATAAATTAGATCGCAGTTTGCAACCGGTTGCTATCTTGCATTTGAAGGTTGGGATAGACATGGTGTCAAGCCGTGACCGAATAACCATTTTGGATGGTTTGTTTTGGGCCTGTCGGCCTAGGTTCTTGACAGTGGTTCCTAGAACTTCCGAACTAAAACTGATCTTCAAGTTCCTCTTGAGTCTCAAGTCACAGTATTTGTCCGAGCATTGTGCAGGCGAGGGGGGCGATCAGGAAGGAGAGTTCGAGGAGAAACAACATTCACTGCATCGATTGAAAGACGTGAAGATCGTGACTGGAGATGTCGATAGACCGAATGAGATGAAAGAAGAAGAGCTGGTGAATGTTTCAAAGGACGTGGGTGCGTTGCTTGGGATGCAAAGACAGGTTAGTTTTAAGTTAACTTGGCACGAGTAAGTTTGTAGAAGAAGATGTGATTGGGCGTACAAGACTTATTTTAGAGTCCGACTAGCAGAGTCCCAAGCTGATATTCAATCTTTAGCTTCAGAGTTGACATGGTTGATTAGAGTTGGGGTAGAGAGGTCTTCCCTTGGAAAAGATTCTTCATTTTTTGTATTTTCATATGTACCAAACAATGAGAGCGAAGAAGCAAACCCAATCTCTTGTCCAGTTATTCTCCAAGTTGATACATAGCCGATTGTCGTAGTCTGTCGCAAAGAAAGCACTCTGCAGGCTGCAGCTGTGAGTCACTTTTTTGAGTTTTTCCATTTGTTCTTCGCACTGGCACAGTCTCTTATGCAATGTAGGTTGGTCTCTACACCCTCCTTGCATTGTGGGCTTTGAGGGCGGCCAATGGTAGGGTGTTCAAATGGTTATCATGGTTATAACCAAATCAAATAAGGTTAAATTTCATTAACCATGGAATACAATATCATAACCAAATCATCCAAACTAATACAACAACCAAATTAACCAAACTAAAGTTTAATCGGTTTGGTTAATTGGTTAACCAGATTAACCAATATAAAATCACATTATCATTGACGATGAAAATTTTCCGGTTAATGCAACAATTCGCAATTTATATAATGAATAAAACATAACAATCAACACGTAGTTATAGTTGACCCTTAACAAAAATACATGCAACTAAGACAATTATCTTACGATTAGTATAGAAGTATTCACCTAACAAAAATTTATGACAATGGTATGGGTTAATGAATTGTTGTTTTTGTGTAAATTGACTTAGTCTCTTAGCAATTATCATAGGCTGGAAATGACCTTCCTTTCAAGTTTTCATCCATCATAATGTATGAAATTTATCTAAATTAGGCGTCCATATGTTGTGGTCTACATTTTACATATACAAATATACACTATATGAGCAATATTGAGCTTTATATTTTATGAGTCTAAAAGAGATGAACGTTAACTCTTGAGTGGTTATGCAAAGTATTAAGTATGTGTATATAATATATGTTAGATATATGGCTAATTACTTAACTGGTTAATTTGGTTTGACTGGTTATGAGTGTCTCAAACCAAACCAAACCACCTAAACCAAGCAAGCTAAAAACTTTAACCAAACCAAACCAATTATCCAAATTACCCAAATAGTACCGGTTAACACGGTTACCATATTAACCAAACCGTTTGAACACCCCTAGCCAATGGAGAAGCCGGTGCGGTGGTGATCTCCGCCACAATTGACAATATATGCCTGCTACGGCTTCAACTTTGCACGAGAGTCTTAGGAGCTGTTTGAGGTTTTGTACCACCCGTCTCTCTTGGATTGGGTGCTCCGGATTTTGAGTTACGCAACCCATAGAACCCGACCCAATCTATGTTCCAATTATTATCATAAGCAAGGTTGTCACACCGGTTAATACCGTTGCGCAAGTTTGGCAAGTGAAATTGTACGACCGGTGACATAACCGGTATGCGCCAGTTCATACCGGTTTAACAAAATATGTAAAATGTGAAAATCATTAATATTCAATGTATTTAATCATATATATAAAACATTTCACCTTTTAAATAACATCAATTTTTACCCTTTAACATCAACTTTTACCCTTTACTTACAATCCAACAAATAAAATCAACTTTTACCCTTTAAATTCATAAAATTAATAAATAAATGAATTTTTATTAATTCAATCCACTAAAATGACGTCATTTTGTTTAGAATTCGTAAGTCTATGATGTTGGTCATACCGGTAGTGTCATACCAATTTCATGATTGGTACAGGTTGAACTAGAGCCGACAAATCGATTATCGGTTGCTGGTTAACCATCAGTTAAAATTGATAATCGACGGTTATCGAATAACCAACGGTGCACGAGAGGGCTTGGCTAGCCGAGTAACCGACGATGAAAACCGTTGGTTACCCAACTAACCGAGCCCTCTCGCTAACATCCCAAAACGACCTCGCACCACCACCCCGGCGAACCCTAACCCCCTCCATCTCTCGTCTTCCCAATCAGTCCCCAGTCCCCTTCGCCGCCTAATCCACCACCCGTAGTCTCCTACCAGACAGCAGACCAAAAATCCAACCGATTCTCCCGCTTCGCAATCGCTTCCCCTGCTGCCCAATATCGTCGGTAACGCGTCCGGCCTCCGCCGACCTCGCCTTCAACCCTAGGCCCCAACTCGACATCACGCAACCTCCCCTCCCGCGACCACACCACTCCTCCGCGATCGTCGCCTCCTTTGCGACTTTGCGGGCCTCCCGCGACGTCGCCACCTCTGTGTGACCTTGATGACCCTATGACCTCGCTGCCTCCTCGCGACCACGCCACTCTCCCGCGCTTCTTCGCAGCCCATTCGCTTTCCTTCCTCTTCCCCGATCGAACAGAGACAGAAGAACCAATCGCCTTCCTTCCTCGTCCCGTCGCCTTCTTTCTTCGCAGTCTCGTCACCATCCCGTCGCCTTCCTTCCTTTGCCACGTCAGGTGGAGGCGTCGAGCAGCTGCGAGGCTCCAACATCGGCAGACAGAGCGAAGACAGGGCAGACCGAGCATGCTCCGCCTCCGTCGCCACTCGTCGCAACCACGCCGATCGCTGACAAAACCATCATTTTTTTGTTTCGCGGCTAAGCGAACCAAAACCGAAAACCGCTTGGTCGGTTGGCCGGATAACCAGGCGTCTCCTTCGGTCGCCTGTCAGAGGAAATTTGGACGTGTTTCGACTAACCGATAATCGAGGTTTCGGTTTTTGGTTAGACCAAAATTGATCGATATCCACCCCTAGGTTGAACCCAGTTCAACTGGTCGGCATGCAACCGACATGACAACCATGATCATAAGTGTTCATTTCCAATAACATATTTGTGTAGTATATGCTTGCATGTTTGTGAGAACATTAAAATATTTTGTCATATTTTTTCTTGTGGTCTCCCTAACCTAATGTATTCTTCGACTTGAAATTTAGACGTGTTATAATATAGGCTATACTTCACATAATATTTTGTTCCAATTTTAGAAGAATAACATACTATGTGAAAAAACTAGGCATATGATAAAGCAAATTGCATTTTTTAAAATCCAAATAACATATATGCATTTTGATACTTTTCACCTTCGTTTATTTGTTTGAAATTTTAGTTTGTTATATTTTGTCTTTGTAAAATAGTTGCGATTTTTGTGTTTGGTTGGGTTTTTACTTAAAAGTGTCATCAATCCAACCCAACTATAAGCAAACCGTAATATCCTTATTTTTTTCGGGTGGGTTTGGATTGAGTATGTCCAAAACCATAGTATATGAATCAAGTGATTAAAATGACTAAAATTGAACCACCCGACCCATGTACAACTCTATCCCCTACTTGTGGCCTGTGGGTGCTTCACCATGAACCAATAAATAATATAATTTATAAGGAAAAAATGAGGCAAAATAAAAGAGACATTTTGAAGTTTTCCCTGTACATTTGCCCAAATAACAGTACCCGGGGTTTTTTTAAACGAATTTCTGGTAATTTGAAAAGGAAGAGAAATTTTGTTTAGGAAGCAATAAATTTTGACATATACTTAATGATTAGTGGTGATATACTTATATATATGCATAATGCATCTCGAACAGAAGGAAGGAACCTGCATCTGAATTCTATCTTTGTTTTCATCTTGTATTGGAGAATTCTGTTGTCATTATTGCAGCCCCCACCACAACAATTTCGCTATTGTGCATATGGATTAATCCATGTGCATCTGCACAACCCACCCCTATTGGGCTATGTTGGCATGGGCAGGGATTGGGGAGCTCCCATTGGCTAGCTGCAAAAATGGGTCTGGTTCGGGTTGAGAGGTCGTAGATGGAGCTGGCTCTTGGCATCCGCCCCTTGGCTTAGGGGTTTGTGGGGTTCGCTAGGTGAGAGAAGAATGGGTGGAGTGGGATTGTGAGAGAAAGGGTTTAGGGGTGTTTTGGCTGGATTTTGGGAAGGGAGAGAGAATGAAAATTCCCCCCCCCCCTCATTAATATGATCACCTACCAGCTTCTCTCTCTCATGCCTTTCTCTCCTCTTTATTTTTTCAACCACCATTGAAGAGAAGAAGAAATCGAGATTCTAGGTTTGATATCAGAGCTACCATGGATGTTCCACTAGAGGTGGATCTTGGAACCCAGAAAGAGGATGTTGGCAAGAATTTTTACAATGATGATGTCGAGGATACTTCCGATGATGCTGCTGAGGATGTAGCTGATATCATCCTCAATGCGGATGTTCAGAATACATGTGACGGATTGTGGGGCTCGTAAGAGTGGGAAGCTGTCGTAGAAGAACTAGAAGGGGGTATGTTGAAGAACAAAAAAAGAATCATTTTGATGTTGCTTCTTCTTTATATATGTTTTGGTTGGTGAAGCATTGAATGCTTTTGTATGGTTAGATTTTAGGGTTTTGCATTCATTGCGTTTGTTCTTCACAACTTATGGGTTCTCCGTACGTTGAATATTTGTTCGTCTGTTTTTATGTTTTGGTTGATGAAGCATTGAATGCTTCTGTATGATTAGATTTAAGGGTTTTGCATTTATTGCGTTTGTTCTTCACAACTTATGGGTTCTCAGTACGTTCAATATTTGTTCGTCTGTTTTTAATACTACTTAAGTATTTCATAAGTATGTTCAGGCATGTATCTTTTGTAAGTGCATGAATATGTTCTGAAACATGCGTGCATGAATATGTTCTGAAACATGAACAAAACCATTTGGGTGTGAGTGCATGAATACTTGTTCGACCCAGAATGAGTGTTACTTGGCAAGGCCAATAATATTGATTGACATTTGTGTGAATATTATAACGCATGTTTAAGAATATTTGTTGTTGATTGAGTGAATGTTGGTTGTGAGGACGTGAGTTTCTAAATGTGTTTACTTTAAATTCAGTGGCAGCCTATGCATCACTATAGATGAAAACTCAAGGAGGAATTTGAAATTCAAGACATTGTGAGATCATGACCACTTAAGCAGCACAACAATGGCAAGTAGGGGTGGCTATACGGTCCGGTCCGGTTAAATTGGCCAAATTGATCCGGTCCAGTCCGGTCTTTTGAAAATATAAGGACCAAAGATTGGATTGGATACAGTCCTGTTTTGATCCGATCCGGTCTTGACCCGGTCGATCCTAACTCGGTCTTGATTTTATATTGAGATTGTGTGGATTTGAGTGGCCTAAGGCCTGAAAGGGTGAGGAGTTGGTTAAGTTTTATACTAAGTGCAAAGGTTTGTGACCGTTTATGCAAATTACCCTTAAGTT